TTTGAGTCAATGAGTCAATGCAATCAACTGGTTTTCCTTAGATAGAAAACTTTGTATCAATTTGATCTGGTTGAACTGTAAAGTGCCTTGAGATGACATGTGTTGTGAATTTGGCGCTATATAAATAAACTGAATTGAATTGAATTGAAAGCATGGGCAAACGAAGCATTAGGCTTTTATTATAAAAGCAAAGAAACTCATTCAAATGTATAATCTAACCTTAAGGGCCTAAATGTTGGGATTTCATTGGCTGTAAACTATTACTATACAAATTAACATAACTAAAACATTACTTTGTGTGTAAGAACGCAGTTTTAATTACATAAAAAGATCAAATTCTAATCAACTGAACAGCCAGTGCAGTTTAACTTTTTTATTTCAGATAATTGGATAAAATAAGCCAATTATCATGGTCATGAACCATGAGGTCAGGATTTATTTGAAATCCCACAGGTGAACTGCAGTAACTACTTTTGTACAACAGATGGCGCTCTAGCGGGGACAGCAGTTTAAGATAAAAGAAATACACTATATTGCCAAAAGTATTTGCTCACCCATCCAAATTATTGGAATCAGGTGTTCCAATCACTTCCATGGCCACAGGTGTATAAATTCAAGCACCTAGGCATGCAGACTGTTTTTACAAACATTTGTGAAAGAATGGGTCGCTCTCAGGAGCTCAGTGAATTCCAGCGTGGAACTGTGATAGGATGCCACCTGTGCAACAAATCCAGTCGTGAAATTTCCTCGCTCCTAAATATTCCACAGTCAACTGTCAGCTGTATTATAAGAAAATGGAAGTGTTTGGGAACGACAGCAACTCAGCCACGAAGTGGTAGGCCACGTAAACTGACGGAGCGGGGTCAGCGGATGCTGACGCGCATAGTGCGAAGAGGTCGCCAACTTTCTGCAGAGTCAATCACTACAGACCTCCAAACTTCATGTAGCTCAAGAACAGTGCGCAGAGAGCTTCATGGAATGGGTTTCCATGGGCGAGCAGCTGCATCCAAGCCATACATCACCAAGTGCAATGCAAAGCGTCGGATGCGGTGGTGTAAAGCACGCCGCCACTGGACTCTAGAGCAGTGGAGACGCGTTCTCTGGAGTGACGAATCGCGCTTCTCCATCTGGCAATCTGATGGACGGGTCTGGGTTTGGCGGTTGCCAGGAGAACGGTACTTGTCTGACTGCATTGTGCCAAGTGTAAAGTTTGGTGGAGGGGGGATTATGGTGTGGGGTTGTTTTTCAGGAGCTGGGCTTGGCCCCTTAGTTCCAGTGAAAGGAACTCTGAATGCTTCAGCATACCAAGACATTTTGGACAATTCCATGCTCCCAACTTTGTGGGAACAGTTTGGAGCTGGCCCCTTCCTCTTCCAACATGACTGTGCACCAGTGCACAAAGCAAGGTCCATAAAGACATGGATGACAGAGTCTGGTGTGGATGAACTTGACTGGCCTGCACAGAGTCCTGACCTCAACCCGATAGAACACCTTTGGGATGAATTAGAGCGGAGACTGAGAGCCAGGCCTTCTCGTCCAACATCAGTGTGCGACCTCACAAATGCGCTTCTGGAAGAATGGTCAAAAATTCCCATAAACACACTCCTAAACCTTGTGGACAGCCTTCCCAGAAGAGTTGAAGCTGTTCTAGCTGCAAAGGGTGGACCGACGTCATATTGAACCCTATGGATTAGGAACGGGATGTCACTTAAGCTCATATGTGAGTCAAGGCAGGTGAGCAAATACTTTTGGCAATATAGTGTATTTCTAAAAATAATTTTTTTTAAAACAACTGTTGGAGCTATTTATTCTTTATTTCTTTATTTATTTGAATTGTGTTAATTTCTAAACTTATATATTTTTTGTATTATTTACAGACTTAATTTATAGGTTAATTGTTGCATTTTTGTGCATCTATTTTTTGTTGTTTTATTATTTTTCTTTATTTTATGTAAAACAGGAAGAAATGTGGGCGGTCCACTTTCTATAATTGTAGGAGCCTGGTAAGGACCAGCAGGCATTTGGGTTAGGGGCCTATGGGTTTTTACCAGTGCAAGAGAGGTGACAGAGCAAGGAAAGTGTGAACTCTGTAATGTGACAAAATATAGGAAATAAATCAACAAAACATCTACAAGTTTGGACTTCCACTTCTTTTGCCTGCGTCAAGAAAACGTGACCCCAGTGCCTATAGTGGCTTATTGGAATTTTATTGGATGTTTGGTTTGACAAACAATTGCCACTACACTCAAGTAAAAACCCACCTGTGGATCAAGTAAAAACACCCTGTGGAACAAGTAAGGAACCAGCCCATGGACTAAAAGGAATACCTCATCAATCAACATGCTGGATTTATGGATCTCAAGGATTCCCTTCAAACAAAAGGTTTTGGATCATCTTTGATTAAATCAAGCGACTTGATGCGTCAGACTTGGATGGACATGTCACTCATTCATCAAGCTGGTATGTGACAATATTGTTCAAGCTATAAAGGAAAATAGTGAAACTACTGGAGTTTAAAGACATTATTTCACTCCAAAGACTGATGAGATGAGTCTGATGTGACAAATTGATGCGTAATTGGATCAAGCCGTGAGCCGACGCCCATCATGGAAATGTTTGTTCACAAGAATCAATCTCTTTAAACAAAGAGATACGTTTGTGCTTTTCCTTGTGGATTATTCGTGGACTATGACGCTTTAAATGTTTGAAATGATTCAAAGAATCTGCAAAAATGTCTGATGTAAAGAGCAAAGAGGATGACACCCAGACGTCACAAAACAAAAGAACCATCAAATTTACACAAAAGGGTTTGGAGTTTTATATAAAAACATGTCAAGAAAAACGAAGTTTAAAGTGTAAACAAGCTTCAAAATGTATGGAGAAAATCTCTGCATTAATGACCTCACAAGAAAATGTTGAGAAAGTGGCTTCTGACTTTGCAAAGTTTATTAAATGCTATCAAGACGCAACTGATTTACATGAATCACTTTTAGGTTTGCCGTTGCCAGAAGAAGAAGTAAAAAGACAAACTGTGTATTTTCAGTCCAAGGTGACGACTTTCCCTGATTTTGTGGACAATGTAAAGGTTTGGTTGACAGAAGCAGGAGATCCATATATGGAACAGAAAAACTATGTTGATGATCAGGTTGTTGAAGATCCTGATGAAATAAATCCTGAAGACAATGTTTCTAATATTACAAGCATAAAGCCACGTTCAAAAACATCTTCACAGCAGTCTCGGGCTTCATCCACCTCTTCTGCACGCATTAAAGCTGCGGCTGAAAAGGCAGCGCTGATGGAGAGACTCGCCGCGTTGGACAGAAAACATCTGATCGAAGCTCAAGAGGAAAACCTGAGAAAAGAAAAGGAAAAGTTAGACCTGGAAACAGAGTTGGCAGCAACTAACGCAAAACTTAATGTATTAAAAATAAATTCAGTTGCTAGTTCTAAACAATCTGATGGGATGAACTCTTATTTTGAAAGAGCCCAAGGAAAGCACACGCCCCTGCTAAATCCTCTCGCTGATGAGTTTGTTCTGAAAGAAAAAGAAAAGTCTTCATCCAACTTCCCTGTTGTCAGACTTAAACAAGGAGAGAGACAACTTCAAATGGATCAGATGAGAGTTAAAGTTGATTCTTCAACTCAAGCAACAGAGCAGACGCAACTTCAATCTCCTCCTTTGACTGAGAACTGTCAGAATGATATTGTAAACATCATGCAAAGACAAAATGACATTGCAGCCTTACTAGTAAAACAAAACTTATCGTCTGTTCTCCCATCCAGAAACATCCCTGTGTTTGATGGGGACCCCCTACAGTACAGATCATTTATGAATGCCTTTGAGAATGGAGTGGAGGCTAAAACTGACAACTGCAGCGACTGTTTGCACTTCCTAGAGCAGTTCACCAGGGGGCAGCCTAAAGATCTCGTGCATAGTTGTCAACACTTAGCTTCTGAGGAAGGTTATTCCAAAGCCAAATATCTTCTTGAAGAACATTTTGGAAATGAAAATAAAATAACTTCTGCGTATATGGAGAAGATTATGAGTTGGACACCAATAAAAGGGGATGATGTGAAAAGTCTACAATCATTCTCTCTTTTTCTTCAAGGTTGTTCAAATCTGACACAACAAATTGTTTACATGAAGGAGTTGGATTTACCTTCAAATATGAGAACAATTGTCCTGAAACTTCCATATAAACTGAGGGAAAAATGGAGAGTTACTGCTTATGAGCTACAGGAGCAAACTGGTCACCGAGCGTTGTTTACTGATCTGGTTGCTTTCATAACAAAGGAAGTAAAAGTAGCATCAGATCCAGTGTTTGGCAATATCCAAGACCCACCAACAGGGAACAACTCCAAAGATCCAAGTTACAGCAAGCAAAGAAAAAAGGGAAGCAGTTTTGCCACTAATGTCAGCACAATTCCAGAAGCCAGAACTCACTCAACTGAAAACAGGACCAAGTCTACTGTTCTTCACAGCTGCTTGTTTTGTTTACAAAGAAATCATCTACTGGAAAACTGCGTGCAGTTTAAAGCTAAAATGCATCGGGACAAGTTGACTTTCATTAAACAAAAGGGGATTTGTTTCGGTTGTCTGAAAGTTGGTCACACAAGCAAAGACTGCAGGAGTCGTTTGGATTGCAATGTGTGTCACCAAAAGCATCCAGGGGTTCTTCACATACAACAAAAGGAGCCAGGAGCCTCTTCAGAACAAAGCCAACAGACAACAAGTTCTCATGTCAACTTCTCAACTGCAACCACCCAGACGTGTGGGCATATTGGGGCTGGTCATGATGATAATGCTGTTTTTTCTATTGTTGCAGTTAAAGTTAAAAGTCAAAAGAGCAACAAAGTTGTGCAAACTTATGCATTTCTTGATCCAGGAAGTTCAGGTACGTTCTGTACAGAAACTCTGGCAAAAAGTCTGAACATAAAGGGCAAAAGAACAAATATTATGCTGAGAACAATGAGTCAAAATAAGATTGTTAATGTACAAGTTTTGTCTGGTTTGGAAATCTCTGAATTGGAAACAAATGATTTCATAGAGCTACCAGATGTTTTGACTCAAAGTACCATGCCAGTTTCTACATTGAATATTCCCCAGCAAAAGGACATTGATCAGTGGCCTCATCTTAAACCTGTTAAGCTTCATAGCATCAATGCAGATGTGGAACTACTGATAGGAACTGATGCTTCAAATGTTTTAGAGCCCTGGGAGGTGATCAACAGTGTAGATGGTGGGCCTTATGCTGTAAAAACTAAAGTTGGCTGGGTCATAAATGGTCCCCTGCACACTAGAAGCCACAGCAAAAATAGAAATGTTTGCACTGCTGTGACAGCCAACAGGATCTCTGTTGAGCATCTTGAAGAAATGCTGATCAAACAGTACAATCATGATTTTAACGAAAGATCATCAGAGGAGAAAACTGAAATGTCTAGAGAGGATTTGCATTTCATGAACATTGTCAATAACTCTACAAAACTTATTAAAGGTCATTATAATATTGACTTACCTTTCAGGAGTGAAAGCCCCTGCTTTCCAAATAACATCTGTGTTGCAGAGCAGCGCCTCCAGAGCCTCAGAAGGAGATTTGAAAAGGATGCTGAGTACAAGGAGGAATACACTGCATGTGTAAACAACATGCTGCAGCAAGGACATGCTGAGGCTGTACCAGCAGAGGACCTACAGAAAGGTAATGGACAACTGTGGTACATTCCTCATCATGGAGTGCATCATCCCACAAAAGGAAAGTTGAGAGTTGTATTTGATTGTGGATCAACCTATAAAGGAGCATCACTGAACAGTCAGCTTTTACAGGGACCTGACCTCACAAACTCTCTGGTTGGAGTTCTCATTAGATTTAGAAAAGAGCCTGTTGCACTAATGGCTGACATTAATGCCATGTTTCACCAAGTTTATGTCTCTGAAAAACATGTCAACTTCCTCCGTTTCCTGTGGTGGCATCATGGTAACACATCAAAACCTGCACAGGAGTTCAGGATGTTGGTTCATTTGTTTGGAGCAGTGTCTTCACCCAGCTGTGCAAATTATGCTCTGCAAAGAACTGCTGATGATAACGCACAACAGTTTCCAGCTGAAGTGGTTGATACTATCAAAAATAACTTTTATGTGGATGACTGTTTAAAATCTGTTCCCACAGAAGAAGATGCGATTCACATGGTGAAGAGGCTGACGGACCTCTGCTCTAAGGGAGGATTCGTGCTCTCAAAATGGGTAAGCAACAGTCGCACAGTGCTCATGTCCATTCCAGAGGAAAGGAAAGCAAAAGAAATGAAGAATCTGGATTTGGACACAGATGAACTTCCGGTCGAGAGAGTACTGGGTTTACAGTGGAGCATCGAAACAGATGAGTTCAAGTTCAGAACCTCTGTGCAGGACCGCCCACAGACCAGAAGGGGCATTTTGTCTGTGGTTAGTTCACTATATGATCCCTTGGGAATCCTAGCTCCCTTCAGTATGCCAGCTAAACTGCTGCTACAAGAACTTTGTCGACAAAACTTGAAGTGGGATGAAGTTATTCCCCATTCTCTTTGTAGGAAGTGGCTCGACTGGCTGGAGGACCTCCAGCTGATCTCCAGTTTTAAGGTGGATCGTTGCATCAAACCAAGCTGCATCAGGAAACCAGACAAAGCACAACTTCATCATTTCTCTGACGCAAGTCAAGACGGCTATGGAACAGTGTCATATTTAAAACTGGAAAAGAATAACATCTCACATGTTGCTTTCATTCTAGGAAAAGCAAGAGTTGCTCCTATGAAGCAAACAACAATCCCCAGGTTGGAACTGACCACTGCTGTTCTTGCTGTCCGAGTCAATAAACTGCTGCAAAAGGAGCTGCAAATACAATTGGAAAAACCTGTTTTCTGGACTGATAGTACAACAGTACTAAAATATATCTCCAGTGAAACCAGAAGATTTCACACCTTTGTTGCAAACAGGATCTCTGTCATCCGAGAAGCAACAGATGTGAATCAGTGGAGATATGTTTCCTCCAAGGAAAATCCTGCAGATGATGCATCCAGAGGCATGAGAGCTGAGGAGTTCATTAAATGCAGGAGATGGATAAATGGGCCTGAATTTCTCCACAGATCAGAAGAGGAATGGCCTAAACTGGATGTGGATCACCATGCAATTCCTGCAGATGACCCAGAGGTCAAAAGGGACCTAGCCGTGAGTGTTCTTGTGAAGGAGTCACAAAATCCTACAAGCTATCTGATTCATTATTTTTCATCTTGGACAAAGCTTAAAACCTCTGTTGCTTGGTTTTTAAAGCTGAAAAACATTCTGATGCTGTTGCAACAGAAAAGGAAGGAGTTTGCTGCTGCAGACATAAATAAAAATGAACCAGAAAAGCAAAACAAAGCCCTAGACAAGCAGATAGAAAGATTCAAGACCACTCTGAAGACAGAAAATCTGACTCCTGAAGACTTGGCCAAGGCAGAACTAGCCATTATTCAGTTTGCACAACAACAGAAATTTACAACTGAACTGGCTTTAATCACCAGGGGCCTTAAAGCAGTCTCTAAGAGAAGTTCTTTATACAAACTCGACCCAGTATTGGATGCTGGAGTCCTCAGAGTGGGTGGCAGGTTGAATAAATCAGCCATGCCTGTCGAAACAAAGCATCCTGCAATTTTGACAAAGGATATGCATGTGTCTACACTGATTTTACGCCATATTCATCAACAGTTGGGACATGCAGGAAGAGCTCATATGCTGTCAAGATTAAGACAAAAATACTGGATAATAAATGCTAATTCAGCTGCCAGAAAAATCATTTCTCACTGTGTTGTTTGCAGGTGTAACAGAGGAAAGTTTATTGAACAAAAGATGGCAGATCTGCCAGAAGAAAGAGTCCTGCCAGCCACCGCTCCTTTTACAAATGTTGGAGTGGATTACTTTGGTCCTGTAAGTGTTAAAAGAGGACGAAGCCTCCTGAAAAGGTATGGAGTTCTGTTCACTTGTTTCACCAGCCGTGCAGTGCATCTGGAAATGGCCTACACCCTCGATACAGATTCCTGTATAAATGCAGTCCGCAGGTTCATCTGTAGAAGAGGCCCAGTTTTCACCATCAGATCTGACAATGCCACAAATTTTGTTGGTGCAAATCGAGAGCTGAAAGAGAGTTTAGCTGAACTGAATCATGCTAAAATTCAAAATGCTTTTGTGCAGGATGGAATTAAATGGAACTTTAACATCCCAGCAGCATCTCACCAAGGTGGAGTTTGGGAGCGTCTGATTCGTTCCATAAGAAGTATTTTGGTTTCAGTTCTTAAAGAGCAAGTTTTGGATGATGAAGGGCTTCAAACTATTTTTTGTGAAGTTGAAGCCATATTAAACGACAGACCCATCACTAAAGTTTCCGATGACTCAAATGATCTTGAGGCACTAACACCCAACCATTTGTTGTTGTTAAAAACCAAACCAGTTTTGCCACCAGGATTGTTCAATCAAAAGGATCTTTTTGTCAGGAAAAGGTGGAAACAGGTGCAATACATGGCAGAGCTGTTCTGGAAAAGATGGCTTTCTGAGTACTTACCTCTGATGCAGGAAAGACAAAAATGGACAAGAACTAAACGATGTCTCACTCCTGGAGATGTTGTCTTAATTGCAGACTCTACAGCTCCAAGAGGAACATGGATGATGGCCAAGGTCTTGAGCGTAAACCAGGATGCAAAAGGCTTGGTCCGCTCTGTGCGATTACAAACAAAGACCAGTGTTCTCGAAAGACCCGTGACCAAACTTTATTTGCTACTGGAAGCATCAACCTGAGGAATTAAGGACATGTTTGAGGGAATAGCTCCTTTTTCTTCATTTGTAATTGTGACAGTATTCACAATTAGGGGCCGGAGTGTTGGAGCTATTTATTCTTTATTTCTTTATTTATTTGAATTGTGTTAATTTCTAAACTTATATATTTTTTGTATTATTTACAGACTTAATTTATAGGTTAATTGTTGCATTTTTGTGCATCTATTTTTTGTTGTTTTATTATTTTTCTTTATTTTATGTAAAACAGGAAGAAATGTGGGCGGTCCACTTTCTATAATTGTAGGAGCCTGGTAAGGACCAGCAGGCATTTGGGTTAGGGGCCTATGGGTTTTTACCAGTGCAAGAGAGGTGACAGAGCAAGGAAAGTGTGAACTCTGTAATGTGACAAAATATAGGAAATAAATCAACAAAACATCTACAAGTTTGGACTTCCACTTCTTTTGCCTGCGTCAAGAAAACGTGACCCCAGTGCCTATAGTGGCTTATTGGAATTTTATTGGATGTTTGGTTTGACAAACAATTGCCACTACAACAACGTCTTAAGTTTCCATATATTTAAATATTGTAAGTCAAAAACGAAAAGAATAAACAACTAGCTTTATAAAGATAAGGTAATGGAAGTTTTTAATACGTTTTATAAAGCTTAAAATGTCTCAAATCACAGCATTTTTATCACCAACTCCTCTGTCTACAGAGATGAGAGGAAATAAAAAAACTCACAGCTTTGGGACGGAAACGGCGCCTTCAAAAAAAGACACAATTTGAACGTTTGTCATAAAAGCACCAGCAAAATATTTAATGTAGTTCCTTATTGATAAACAAATCAGCATCTAACTACTAACTCTCCACCCCAGACTGTTGTGTTCCTGGGCACAAGGATTCAAGTGGGCAGTTCTAGAGTAACTCAACACGTTTGGCCCCACACTTACAATAACTCGCCATTTTCCACCATTGAGCTTGTTCTCAACCCTCCAGCAATTCCTGCTTATCCTTTCACAATAAAAACAACTGTAATAAACAGCTTACCTACAAGGCAAAATTACCCATTAAGGGTAAAATCTGCAGTCCCACGATGGGTGAAAATGGACTTTGGTCTGGTTCCTTTGAACGCAGCGGTACCAGCAAAGGTTTCACTCCAGCAGGTCTCTTCTGTTCCCATCAGCCACTTGAAAAACTCAGTACCCAGCACACAGACTTTGTAGAATCTTACCTTAATGTCCCTTATATGAGAAACAGATATTATTTATAGTTAATTAATTGTATTAAAGCCTTTGTTGTTGACATGTGGCCAGGTTGTTCAGATGAGCTCTCAAATCAGAGTTGTAGTTTCTTTGTGGTCGTAGATTCAACATTAAACCTCTATTCAATAGTGAAAGTTTGACAATCAAGACTCTCCTGTTGTCTTTTTGGTTTGTTTTTTAATAATAAATAATCATCAAAATAGCTGTTTTTATTTTTTGTGCCATTTTTATGATGAAGTTCTTTACAAGTGGTGTAACGCATTAATACATCAGACGGTTTCTGCAAGTTATAAGGTTCTTTAAAATGACTCTAAAAAATTACAGAGAAAAATACTGATATTAGAACATTTTGTTTGTATTCTTGAATACTAATACTTGAATACTCACTTAAATATATAGAAACTTCAATACTTGAGTAGATGTTTGACAGAGTAACGATGAATTGTAGTTAAGTAAGATTAGACTATGAGTAACAATACTTTACTCAAGCACTACTGTTGAGTACTTCATCCACAACTGGACATATGCAGTGGAGATTATTTTACTCCAGAGATCTGAATGGGTGTGTAAACTGGAAAAAAACTATCTAGAAATTAGTCAAAACGTCTTACATTAAGTGTATTTACCCTTCATTAGAGCAGGTAAATAAGAAGATTTGCAAATGGAATGAGATTTTTTTTGCTCTTAAAATAAGATAATTAGATAATATGCACTTTAAATAAGACAAAGCCATTTTTTTTCTTATTTTAAATGTAAATTATCTTATTCTGTTGGCAAAGTATTTCACTTACCTCCTGAAGTCAAAAACAAATGCATATATTTTAAGAAAAAAATGACTTAGGCCTATGTGGATTTAGATTTTTTCCGGTGTACATGGCTGCAAGATGGATTGGAAAAAAAACAACTCTGTCATCCGGATTGAAATTTCTCTCTAAATTCAGATTTATTGTCAAATATTTCAGTAGAAAACCTTAGAAAGCGGCCAGTGAGCTTTAGAACTCGCTCCTTTGCCTTATTAAATGCAAGCTTTGAATGAACTCACCTTTAGGTCATGATGAAACTATAATAATGCAGAAAAACAGGCTTTACTAATTAGCTGGTGCAATTAGCCAGTTTTTCATAATTCTTCTCACGCACGCGTGCGTGCGCACGCGCTTCCGCTGCCATGGAAACGGGGGCCTCTGAACGTCGCCGCCATTATTAACTGCTACTTTCTAAACTTGAGCTGGACGCTTGACTTGCTGCAGTCTGTGGTTTTTACTAACCTGCCAAAGATGTGCTACACACCAATGATGAACAGGTTGCAGGATCGGCTGGAAGGTAAATGTCACTATTTTACTATGTTAATTCAAAAAATGTTACTTGAAAAATGATTATTTTGAAGTTTTTCCATGAAGTTGGGACGGCTAGCTTAGCATCTAGCATCTTTGACATCTCAGAGATTAAATGTGTTTTTAGTCGACTGAATTTGTTAGGAATATTAACAGCCATTTAATTATTTGAAAAAAAAAACCTGTTTTTGTTTCAGAGAAAAACCTACGACGGAGTATTAGGGCCACACATGAAGAGAAAAAATATTTTTGCCATGACGAGATTAAACTCGACATGTCGACTTTAAACTCGCCCTGTCGACTTTAAACTCGCCATTTCGAGAATAAAGTTGAAATGACTGACATGTTCTCAAATTCAGAACTGCGAGCCTGGGTAAGCATAGGGAAATACGTTACGTTATTATTGGTAGGCCACAGCTTCCTGTGATGATTATACAGTTGCAGCACGTCAAAGACTACCTTCACTCATAAAAAGCAGACTGCAGCTGTGGAGCGCGGTTGCTCTTTTCTCCAAACTTTGGAATGTCGAGATTGAAGTCGCCACGATATATCAACTTTATTCTCGAAATGGCGAGTTTAAAGTCGACAGGGCGAGTTTAAAGTCGACACGTAGAGATTAAACTCAACATGACATTTCAACTTTATTCTCGAAATGTTGAGTTTAATGTCGACATGTCGACTTTAAAGTTGACATGTCGAGTTTAAACTCGTCATGGCAAAAATATTTTTTCTCTTCATGTGTGGCCCTAATACTCCGTCGTAAAAACCTTTGTTGAATTTTATGTGAAATGTTTGAAAACTAGATTAAGCTAGGTCTGTTATTAAAAAAAAAAAATGCCCTGAAAATACTATGTTAGCTCTTTATGGAAATGTTGGTGAAAATACATTACATAAAGAAATTAAACAAAGAGACATTTGAAGGACATTTAACATTAGTTTAGTAAATGTGTTTTGGGACATGATGTTTTTTAAGGGGTATTATGCAATAAATTGATTTTTATGAACGGAAATGGGAGGAATGATAACAGAGATGCAATGATGTAAAACAGAAACAAAGTTTGGTTTGAGAGAATAATCTATGATGAATTTAATGTGCAAATGGATGAAAAAATGGAAAATAAATCATTTTAGGATAAAATGGATTCATTGAATATATTGGAATTTGAAAAGGAAGGCCTTTTTTAAAACATGCTGTAGTAAACATATTGGTCTCCATGGATACCTTAGTTGAATGCATTAAGCAACTTTAGGACTTTTTCAGGTGGCATATATTTTTAACTTCAATGGAAGGTCAAAGGTGTTAAAAAATGTTTGAGAGATTTGAAAAGTTTCTGGTTTCAGAGGATCATTTTTAGCGAGTTTGGTATCCAATCCTTGGAAAACAAGGTGATTTGAAATCATGTTTTTAAAGGCAACTAGTAAGCAACTAACTAACACTATTCATTTTAATAAAACCCTAAACATTATCATTTGTTTGTTTTTAGCTTTTGTTTTCCTAAAACAAAAATCAGGTCCTATACATTTTTTGGCTGTAACATGTTTAGAAATTGACTGAGTTTATAATAAGGATAAAGAAATAAAGAATAAATGTTTAATTAAGAGGTCAGAAAGAAGGATGATATGTTTATTTTACAGTGAAAAGGTAGAATTAAAACATGAGTTCAGAACAATATATTATTTAAAGGTTTTCCTGCAGCCCTTGTTTGGATCTTCAGGTGAAAGTAAATCATTTAATCCCATCTGTCATCAGTAATAATAGTTTGTTCATAGAGGACTCTATCATTTTCTAAACATTTAACGCTGGATGGTTTCTTCTTAACCATGAAATGTTCTGTATAGGATCCCCTTTCTTTTAGAACAAAAAAATGTTCTAAATAGTTTGGCATTAAGTTTGCTAATGTCCATTTCTGCCCTGAGCTTTCTATGTGTGTTAATTAAGGTCTTTATTTCAACTCTAGGATGCACTAAGGAAGGGTCTGATAAGCTGAGATTGTGATTCTGAGAAATTATAGATCTGAACTTTAAAGCTTGATGTTATTAAGCCTTTATTTCTCCTAATAAGGATAATTTTCTTCTTATAGTAAATTAACTTAAAAGATTTATGATTGTATTATCAAGTCAGCCAATGAAAAACGTTTTTTATTGACAGCTTCAAATGTTCTTTCATCTGAACTAATCTAAATGTCTGAAGCTCCCAAAGGAGGATGTGTGCCCCCTAGTGGAGCACAGTTTAATAGCAGGGGACGTGGTAGAAATAAACTAAATAAATGGACCATTTAGAGCTAATCTTTTTTGTATTGATAACTTTCTGAAAATAATATTAAATGAAATAAATAGTTACATTAAAATAAACTTACAATTTAATTGTAGTCTTGTGATTTAAAGGGTATTGGAGTTTTTTTGGTTATAAACTTAGCCACCAGCAAGATAGCTGGCGAGGACCAGCAAAATGTCCCCCTTTACAACAATCAGTCCTCAGGCTGATGCCGAGACAGGGCAACACAATCATATACGCACATATATACATATATATTAATATTTTTTATTTAAAACTAACCAAACTGTTAGCATTGTTTATATGTCTTATTTATTAGATCTACTTAAACCTGAAAAACTCACAGAGGCACATCCAGCAACCTAAAATAAAGCTTTTAGTTTTTTTCATTTAATTTTCCTTAGTTAATGTTCCTGGTCTAATGATTTTTTTCCCCTCACAGTTCCAGACGTCGTGCTTCCAGCTGATCCTGACCCGGAGCCCTCGTTCTGGATAGAGGATCAGGGTAATGTATATGCTGTATATATGGTCATCACAGAACCGTTGCCAGTTTACAATGAGGAGATAGAAGTCCAGGAAATAGTGGTTGACAATGAGGAGATAGAAGTCCAGGAAATAGTGGTTGACAATGAGGAGATAGAAGTCGAGGAAATAGTGGTTGACTATGAGGAGGTAGAAGTTGAAGGAGTAGTGGTGGAAGAGTATGGGCAGGCGGAGATGTGGTCTTTTGAGGGGGAAGATGTTGCTTTTGATGATGTCAGGTCTTTTTCTGGTGAGTCTCTTGAGGTGTCTAGTGACTCTTACGGGTATGATACCACGAGCTCTGAGGAAGAAGATGACGAAGACGATGACCACCTTCCACCACATCTTCGGTTCACCCAGAGGATTCCCCCCGACTTCAGACTCCCGTGGAACCCCGAAGAGCCAAAAGAGTCCCTCGAGTGCACAGAAGACCGCGTCTCCGGGAAGAGGAGAAGAGAGGAAGATGAGGAAGATGATGAAGACGATGAAGACGATGACTACCTTCCCCCACATCTTCAGTTCAACCAGATGATTCCCCCCGACTTCAGACTCCCGTGGAACCACGAAGAGCCAGAAGAGTCCCTGGAGTGCCCAGAAGACCGCGTATCCGGGAAGAGGAGAAGAGAGGAAGATGACGAAGACGATGACCACCTTCCTCCACATCTGCGGTTCACCCAGAGGATTCCCCCCGACTTCAGACTCCCGTGGAACCACGAAGAGCCAGAAGAGTCCCTGGAGTGCCCAGAAGACCGCGTCTCCAGGAGGAGGAGGAGAGAGGAAGACAATGAAGAGGAGCTCCCCTGGAAGAGGCTTTGTCGTGAGAGGGATTTTTAAGAAGAGGAATTCTGGCAGGTCTAGGGATGCCTTAGGTAGCGTCTTGCACCGTGGCTTTTATTTACCCCGCTGCTAGATTGAGTTTTTCAGTTATTAAGGAGTCTGGCAGGTCTAGGGATGCCTTAGGTAGCGTCTTGCGCCGTGGCTTTTATTTACCCTGCTGCTAGATTTTCATTTAACTTTTTAGAAAGTTTAAGAAATTTTGTTTAGAACTGACATCTGAGCAGGCACTGAGGACATGACAACGATTTAAACAAGGTGTGGAACATGAGAGCTGGTTAAGGCAGACATAATCTAGCATGCTCTACATCTAATGTCAGAGCTGGACAGTCTGCCAGCTAACAGAAGGCAACACAAACAAAGGATTGATAAAAGAACAAGGTTTGCAAAGAGGAAACACAACATGGAGGCAAATGGACAAAAAATAAATCCTGGCTAAAAACAGATGAACCACGAGGAGGCAAACCAATCCAAGGAGCAGCTGGACATCACTGCTGAGGACAACGCAGGAGGTCAAACAAAAATCTTAAAGGTCTAAAAATGGAGTTGAGGTCACCTAAAGTCTATAGGCAGAGGGCCAAGGCTGTAGTGGAGACAGATTATCTAGAGTAGAGGACAGGACTGATGTAGGGATTTGGGTTGTGAGAGGAGCCGACTGTTAGAAACAGCTTTCAGATGCGACTTGGTCTACTTCTAGATGTTCCTCTGGTCAGTTAGTTTTCAGGCCTACTTTGAGAGAAAAGAACCCTCTGCAGAAATATTCTTCATATGATCTAGGCCTGTTCTGACCGCAGTGGATCTCTTCTGTGTTTTTTAAATCCCATGTTGGACCGAGCCTCTCCAAGCTTTGGGCCATCAGAAGATGCTGATGAGATCTGCAGCGACCAAACCAGAGGAGGATCATCTGGGCTGCTGACCTTTACAAAGAGTGAGAGCATGTTCAGTAAGGAGCAACAATGATCCATCTTTTAAATAGAAAGTTAACATTTCAGGTGGCCTCACTTCGTTTTTCATGTATGTTCAGACACTGTGGACGTCCAAAAGCAGAACTTCTGTGAGGAACCGGGACATCCAGGATGGTGAGGAGCTTCCCAGTCCCCACCTGAGGACGGCACAGAGAGACTGGAACAGAAAACACACGGAGTAAGACTTTATTAACACGACAAACCGACAACTCAAACTTCCCAGGCCTGATTAAAAGCTAACAGTCACTGAAACAGAAAGACCAAGATTATGATGAAAATAACATCCTGCCCAGATTTAAACTTGGTTTCAAGGAAATTAATTTGTCTTCTTTTGGCAGGGAAAGCAGGTTGAAGATGGAAGCAGTTTTCTAGCAGCCGGATCACATTGGAACAGAGTCCATCCACACGTGTTTGGAGGTATGTTGGTTGTTATCTAACTAGAGAGGCATCACATGCAGACAGTTTCACACTCTGAGGACGCTTTGCTTTCATTGATGAAGGAGCTGAAGAAGAGGATGGAGCACAGAGACCGCTAAGGAGGAGGAACATGGCTCCTCTATTTCTCTCCAACATGCTGGAGTCCTGGACTGAAAAACGTTGACGACCCTGCAGCTAAACCATCAGTCTGCTCCACCCAGTAAGAGAAGATAACAAACCTTTATTGATTCCAGATGTTCATCAGTATTGGTGGAGATATTAAAAACAGATCCAGAACAAACAGATTTAAAAGATACAACCATCCCATCAAGGTGGTCTGACCTTTAATCTTTATCTTTCCATCATTAATTGTTCACCTTCGTTTGAATCTCTGTAACCAAAATTTACCAGAACCAGAAGTTCTGACTTTTCCATTAGACCACAGATAAAGAGTTAGGAAGCCGCTTCTGATCCAATATGGGAGAATTTCCCCCTGGTTGATCTCTGAAGGGTTTTTTTAGAACTTTTTAAAGCAGAGAAACGACCGACTGAAGACTTGCAGCATTTTCAGGCATTTTCTCCAAGCATCCATTCTCTACAGTTATCGCTTCTGTTAACTTTAGGTTCTCCCTGTGTGTTTCCTTCTTCTCTTGGTCAAAGTTACACCTCTCCCAGTGTTCATGTGTTTAAATGTCACAGACTAGCGTGTTTGTTCACTAACTTCTGTTCTTTTTTTCCAGATAAGGTCATCTGCTCCTTGGACTGGCGCCTCTGTGTCTGTTGGACGTCTGCTGTCCTGTTAAAGACCCGCTCGGCCGCAGTAGATGGGCGCTGACATGGAGCTGCTGGAGGTTCCTTCCTGCTTAAAGCTGGTTTTCCTCTCTACTGTCACCACTTCACTGCTCAGGAGGAAGGACTGCTGTGAAATTAACGACTGGATGTGATTGGCTGAGCTTCCTCGGATTGAAGACATTTCTCTAAAAGCCATAATAAGCTGAATTTATTTTTACCATGTTGTAAATAGGATTGGGCTGGACTGCATGTTTGTGTTTCAAATTGATTCTGTGTTTCTGTTGTTTTCTGTTACATGTTTTTGTATTAAAGTTGTCATGTAAATTGCCTTCAGATAACATTTGCTGGGACTTGTTTCTATTTTACAAGAGTGAATTATAATAAATTCCCCTACTGGGTCTGTTTCTGTTGAAGGATGCTTCCTGTCGTTCTATCTCCACATGTTATTTCTCACTATAATAAAGGTTTGATTGAAGTCATGTGAACAGGATCTTTTTGTCTTTATTTGTAAAGTGTCTTGAAATAAGTGGTTGTAAATTGGTTCTTTGTAAATAAACAAAAGTGAAGTCAACTGGAGCAAGAGTTTAATATTACTATAGTACAGCGCTTTGGCAGATAGGTGGTTATTATTGTTTCTCTGTTGGGGGGTCTGACCTGACAACATGTTAATAGAACAATTGTTCTTGTCACCTTGCAGGATCAGAACTAATTAGCTCTACAAAAGGACAGTGAGACGTTCCTCCTGCAGTTCTTCTGATTTAATGACCTTATAGACAATCTGGGAGTTAAGCAGCAAAGCAGACAGGACACATCAACACTAAGCCTTACAAAGAACAACAATTAAAGATGAATTTTAAAATAAAACCAAAGGAAGATAGTAGGAACTAAATGTTTAATGAACCCAAAGTCAAACAGCTTTGCTTAATTCAAACAAAACTTTGTCCAAAGGTGATTTTTCCTTCTTTAAACTATACATACTTGGTCCCTCAGGGTTGCATAGCTCACTCCTTTTAACAGACACCATCTAGTTAATGTTTCAGACTCTATATTCTATCAGAGGAAAAGGGGGTAAAGGATTTAAATGGATTGATGATTCTACACTCACATTAAATTGGTTTTAGAAAAGATAAAATATGGAGTCAAATCAGTAAAAAAGATCCACATGTACAACAAGATATGTTATTGTGCATCTCAATTTACTAATGTGTATCACACAAAGCTCAAATGTGTACCTTGACATTTACAATTCATGCATGTGCAGTGTATTATTACTCGTATATTATGAATGGTGTGAATTTGAGAAACTGTTAACACATTTGTAAATGTCAAGGTACACATTTGAGCTTTGTGTGATACACATTTGTAAATTAAGATGTACAATTACATATCTTGTTGTCCGCATGTGGATGTTTTTCAGATCGATTTAGCTCCATGCTCAGCTTTTACTGTAACTAACTGTGTGTGCTCTCTTCCATACTTTCTGATATTAAAACTGAGTCAGACCTCATCAGGTTGACTGTTGCTTTCCTAGAAAGAGCCACTAATGGAGCTAGTTTAACTTGACCTTTTTTAACATAGAAAGTATTCATTAATCAGTGCTTCTATGCTCTTTATCTATGTCTGCTTTCCTCTCCTTGAACCCCCAGTCAGCCTCGGCAGAACGCCGCTCACACTGAGCCTGGTTCTACTGGAGGTTTAATCCTCTGTTGTCGCTGAATTTATGCTCGGTTTGAGGGATTGCTGTAGAGTCAACGACACAATGCAAGCAAAGGTCTACTGTTTCTAGAGGAGCAAACCCTGCAGAGTCAATGACTGAATGCAAACGGCAGGGTCTCATTAGATAGAAAACTTTTTACCAATCTGACTGTATTTGATTTGATTGAGTTGTCTTTGGAAAAATTAACTGAATTGAATTGAGAAACCTGAAAGGGCGAGTTTACTGATCACTCAGGATGTTGCTGAGGAGGAAATGCATTCATTTGATTCAGGTGTGCTGAAGAAGAGATGCATCCAAAGCATGCAGGACAACCTATAACCTTTTTAAATTAAGATTAAAATAGAATTGGGAGTTTTAAATTTATTGACATGACATAACCCCCAGAGGGTGATTTGGTTGATTTCTTTTTTTTTTTTTTATATTCCCCCCTCCAATTATTCCCACTAATTGAAATGTCTTTAAATCCACATTAACATGAATTCAACAGACTGTAGTAACCAGATTAATGGAAGCAGAAGATGTCTTTCAGTCATCAATGCACACATTCAGCGACACACAGGAGCGCTTTCAAGCTGGGCACCGTTTCATCCACAACACCTGTCCCATCAACCAGGAATCAGAATCAGAAATACTTTATTAATCCCAGGGAGAAATTACTTTCATTACATGACTTAATCTGTAATAGAGTGACTATAGGACCAGTTTGATATAACACAATTTCATACAATATATGTAATTAGGATCAGATTTATGAAAAATATTTTTAAATATAATACAGCCTACCTCTTTTGAATATTAATGTTTTCATCTGCATGCAAATAAACTTAATTGCATTTTTTCAGTTATTATAATATATCATATAATTTGCCATGTCAATCCAACACTTCTGTTTCAGTTGGTCAGTTATGGAAGTAGCCTACTGCATAACAAATAAACCTATGTTTAATGTTGTAATGATGCTTATAAATGTCAGGTGAAAATGCTGTGTTAGAAAAGTAAAATCCTGCTGACAAAAACTAGAACTGTTGCATGGACAAACCAGTAAAGGTCAGTAAGTAAAAGATGTGATTATCCATCCATCCATTTTCTGTCTCTCTTATCCCAAGCTGGGTCCTGGTGCCTATCTCCAGCTGTCTAAAAACTCCTCTCCTAGAGTGATTTTTATTTGTTAATTTTTTTTCACGGCACCAGTTGCTCATTTTTAGTGAACTGAAAATATACAGTTGCTGAAAAATCTGTAACAACATCTGAAGAGAACAGGCGTTTTAACGTGCATGTGCTATATTTAGTTTTTCAGAATAGTACAATACAACTGCAGTACTCAGAAGACACAGCAGATGGCAGCATAACAGCTTCTCCATTAATAACCATTGAACAAAAAACTCCTTCATATTTCAACAACATCCATATGACATTAACATGTTAGTATGGTACAAATCCCTGTTGAATGTTTTTGACTCTTTAAAGACAAAAGGGGGTTAAAATCATCAATACTAGTTGTGTGATCATAAGTTGTGTCTTATGAAGTTGCCCCTTTTTTCCTGGTATTCAAACTCAGATGTCTTTATAATTAGAGGAAGTTGTCAGATGTTTTTCTAAAAAGAAAAATAATAAAGATTTAATTAAATTCAAAAAAAATTTTATTGAGGCACTTTTGTTATTATTCTTAATATATTCAGGCAAGTTGGTGTTTCTTGTTGTTACATTGACATTAATTTTTGTCAACAAAATATTCCTATTTTTGAATGTTACAAAGGTGATAAGATTCCAATAACACTATTGGCTTGAAATTTTGATTTTTAAAGTATTTCGCTGAGTGCCCTATAAAGGTTTAAACGAGATACTAACTAAACAATTTTTTAAGGTTGTTGTATTCTTTTTCATGCTTACTATTTTGTCTTCTATGGTCATCCTGTTTCATGTGGGCTGATTTCAACTGTGGACGCTAACATTAGCATTGCAAACTTCAATACTTGCTTCACCATGTGTCCTGTTTAAATCCTTCCTGACTGCCAGCGGCAGAAAACAAAGAAGATACATAGATGCCACAAAGTCACGGAGTAACTTCTGCTGCACTAAGATAGTTTTTAAGAATAAATATCTGCACTGGACCCACACTGATGCTGCTTGAAAATGCAAAGGTTTCCACTAGGGACTTCAGTATGTATAAAAAAATGCAGTTAATTGAGTCAATTTTTTAAACATATTGAAGGTATAGAGGGCGATCTTTTATTTCCACTTATCTAAATAAGTGGTCTTCCTAAATGTCCATAATTGTAGTTCAATATTTACATAAGGCCATCCTACATGCTCGTCCCGTTAGCTATCTTTTTGCTCACATGCGTACTTTCATCCGCATATGTGTGGTGAGGTACGGTTTCAGACATTGAAGCTCACCTTTCTCACTGCAGTTCTTCAAAATTGCTGAGGGTCGTTAGAGAAAAGTGTCTACGAAGTGTATGAGAATAAAAGAAAGGTCTCAGAAGGGGCAGATATATCCCAGAATGCTTTGTATGGAGAGCTCTCCTTGAATATTTAAAAAATTCAATACTTGAGTAGATGTTTGATCGAGTATCGTTGAATTGTAGTTAAGTAAGATCCGACTATGAGTAGCAATACTACTGTTGAGCACTTAATCCACAACTGGACATATGCAGTGGAGATTATTTTACTCCAGAGATCTGAATGGGTGTGTACACTGGAAAAAACGATCTAGAAATTAGTCAACATTTCTTAAATTAAGTGTATTTACCCTTCATTTGAGCAGGTAAATAAGAGGATTTGCAAATGGAATGAGATTTTTTTGCTCTTAAAATAAGATAATTAGATAATATGCACTTTAAATAAGACAAAGCCATTTTTTTTTCTTATTTTAAATGTAAATTATCTTATTCTGTTGGCAAAGTATTTCACTTACCTCCTGAAGTCAAAAACAAATGTATATTTTAAGAACAAAATGACTTAGGCCTATGTGGATTTAGATTTTTTCCAGTGTACATGGCTGCAAAATGGATTGGAAAAAAACCAACTCTGTCATCCGGATTGAAATTTCTCTCTAAATTCAGATTTATTGTCAAATATTTCAGTAGAAAACCTTAGAAAGCGGCC